AGACAAGTGATAGATAAGTTTTCACACTAAATTCATGAAAGCCAAGGTCTAAAAAAACCTTAATAAAATCTTATTAATGGACTTAATCCTCATTCAAAATATTCCATTCGAGTAAGGGATTAATAGGATCTTCATTTGTCTAAATATCATACAAAATAAAATCTTTAAAATATACATATTCTCTAAAAATACTTAAAAGATAAAAACTTTAAGAGATAGATGTGACATAAAAATCATAGAAATGATAAGTTCAGTAAAATCTCATAAGATACAAGTAAGAATATATATTGTCTTCAAAAATGCCAAATGACAAAAGCCTTAAAAAAATACATATTTTCTAAAAAATTGAAAGGTACATGTCATGTAAAAATCTTCAAAAAAATTTTGAAAAGTATAAATTTTATTGAAAAAACTTAAAAGCAGAAGCCTTATAAGATACATGTTCTTTAAAGTCACAGAAATCAATGGAACTAAAAGATATGTGTTATCTAAACAAATTAAGAAATTGTATGACTCAAAAGATATAGATATTCTAGTTACCTTAATAACCCTAAAAATTATAAAATTCAAAAACTACTTTTCTACTTATATTAAGTATTTATGTTGACCCTTATTACAGATTTCTCTACTTATTGGAAAAGTCTAAGAAACTTAAGCTTCGAAAGATATGAGTCATTCATTTACTTACAATTCTTAGAAGTTTATAAATTTCAAAATTTACATTAACTTCATTAACCTGTGGATAAAAGAGATGCAAGACTACTTAAGAGATTTGAAGAGCACATAATACATGTCAAAGTCTTTACTAATTTAAAATTTTAAACTACTATATTTTAATTAGCAGGAAAAGTCTTTTTATACTAAATCAAATATTCAATTATAATATTTTAAATTTATTCAAAGATTTTATTCTCAAAGACATATAATTGGTTTAGTCTCTAATAAAAGATCTTATAAAATGAATTACTTTTACATCGAGATTGATAGTTTATCAATAACTTGATTTTAGATGTCTGTTAAAGTTATATATTAATACAAAGTTATATTCTTCCAAAAGTTGGATATTATTAAACTTATTATTAGATATACATAATGTCAATGCACTCATTATCATCTCATTAGATATTTCTTAAAGACTTTGCAGCTTTTAAATCTTCAAACGTCTACATCAATTTTCAATGAACTGCATCTCTCATCTCTAAGTTTGTTACAAGGATATAATGTTTAGCAACAACATATCTCAAATGATTCTAATAGCATCAAAGCCAACATCAATATTTGGCAAAACCAAAATTGAAATCAAGTTTGGATTAAGTTCATGCTCTATCTTTGGTAGTATCTAAAATAATTTATAGATTTATATTAAATTAAAATATTAACTGAATGAAAAATTATAGGAACCTAATAAAAAACATATAAAAACTATGGAACAAAGTAGCTCGCAAAAGTTTCTTTTCAACGACATCATAAACATTATAAAAGTTGCTCTTTTGAGGATTTAGTAGAATTTTATATGAAAAAATGTTATACATGAAGCACTTACCAACTACCACTTACACATTTTTTAAACAAAATACACTAAGAAGAATTTGAAATATTTTATTAAATAACTATAAGTTAAGGAAATCATTAAAAAAAATCATTAGCTTGTGTAAATGAATTAAAGATAGTAATTAAAAAATAATAATTTTAAAAATTTTGAAGTTTAAAAAATTTCAATTTTACCAAAAGATAATATCATTATCAAAAAAATATTCATGAAAGTAGCCAAAGATGTCATCATCAATCACAAAAAAAATATAATAATTTTTAATATCAACAACAAAAAAAGCTAAAATATAGAATATAGAAGTTCTAGTTGAAAAAAAAAAAAAAAAAAAGAGAATAAAAAAAAGGAAAAAAAAACCAAAAATAAATGTTCATAAGCATCCTATAAAAATGAACTCAAATTTGTAAGGAAAAAAAAAAGATAAAAGGTATTCATGAAAGTCACTCAAAAATAGAAAAAAATCAAGGTATTGCTTTTATTTTCATTTTCATTATGTTTCCACATCAAAGTTGCGATGATGAATTAAGATGATGATCATTCTCATGAATGAAGCTAAATTTTAGGAGCATCTATAAGTTTCTCTAATCTAGAATTTTGGAGCTCTTAGTAAAGCAGTATTGGAGCTTATCAGAGGAATAGGCATCACCTATACAAGATACTCTCAAGCATTTAGAACTATTGGAGCTTCCAAAAGAGAAATTACACATGATTTAGGACTATATAAAATTCTTATAACAGAAAGAATCATAGACTATAAAGAAAATTTGAGAAATTCGAGAGTTTCTCTTACTTATGAGAGATATCTGTACTAAAAAGGAAGGATAATGAGTAATTAAATTGTGTATTCTTTATTTAAAAGTTTAGAGTTATTTATAAAAAATTTAGTAATTTTTGTGGTCATTACAAGAATATATTTAATATTTAAAATAAGATATATATTTTTAAAATAATAATTTATGATTACTATAGTGTGTATATATATGTGCACAAGTACATAGGTGTGTGTGCACATGACTGCACATGCAATTGTGAGAGCAGACCATCATTATAAGTGAAAACCAACTAGGCTTGACCAAGCTCAAGCATAACTTTGGTTTTGTACATGCCTTTTCCAACGTGCTTTGGGATCCTTGTAACTACTTTTTGATGTTTTGAATCAACTTCGATACTTCAAACAACTCATAGAACCTAGACAAGAAATTCTGATAATTTTGAAAAGCTTGGAGCAATATTTTCCAACAATTTTTGCTTCAGTCAATTAACCATCTTTAGAGAATGGTAAAATATTTTACTTGGTTCAAAAGCTCATGTGGCGGTGCTTATTGATGTTTATGAAATGGTCACTCTTTATTCACTTTTTGATATTATAAGTTAACACTGTTTACTTTGTCAAAGATTTAATATAAATTTTTAAATAATCGACGACCTAAAATAGTTATTGTCATTATTGAATTCATCTAATCAAATACATACATACATACATATATACATATATATATATATATATACATACATACATA